TATTCAGGAGAGCTTTGTTATTTATAGACTCATGAGTACGAACGAAAGAATCAATCCGTGTACATAAAAATCCAGTGGAAGCACCGAAGCTCTTTCATGTACAGACTGCTGCGGGTCACTAAGGCAGCAGGCCACCACGGTTACCGTCGGTTCCCATGGAAACCAGACAAGTATGCTCTCCAGTCGGACTCGGAGGGCTCTCGAATGGCGGCCGGGGGCTAATGACTGAAACTGCTCTCGCCAAGACTTGACTTTGATGAATTAATCTTCAGCTTTAAAGGTCAAGTTGATGTTGAATGTTTTGGATTTTAAAGGAGAAAGCTGCAGCTTTTCGTTCACACGCTTTTATTTCAGTCTCACCTCAGACGTTACTTATATTTCTGTCAATCTGTGGTTTGTGGATGAAGTTGTTTCACGAGACGTTTCTATTTCTTTGCTCGTGTTCACAGGTTCACATCCCACAGTTCGTTTTAAACCACGGTGGCGTAAATATTTGTTTTGCATGTTGTCATTAAAATGTATGTGCGGTTGTTTTTCAGGATACGGTTCATCGCTGTGTGTCCACCTTTAATCATCTTCCCTCTCTTCTCGTCAGAGCCTGTAGAGACGATCCAGAGTCACGGAAAGCTCAGACCCGTCACCTCTGGACCTTCTCGCCTTCCTGACTCTCAAACGCACAACAAGGCGGGAGTCAGCAACGGCACCGGATCACAGAGGAACAATCAGCCGCGCTCCCCCGACGTCAAAGTGCAGAAGTGCTTCATCTGTGTGACGGGAATGACCTGCACCTCCTGTGTGTCCAACATAGAGAAGAACCTGCTCAAACACAAGGGTATGTTGACTCCAGAAAAAAGAAATATCCTGGATACAAACACTTACTGATGAAACTCAAGCAGATCTAACAGAAATTGCGTCTTGGTCCAGGAATCCTCTCGGTGTTGGTTTCTCTGATGGCGGGAAAAGCTGAGGTGAAATATGACTCAGACGCCACAGACGCCAACGCTGTAACTCAGCTCATCGAGGACTTGGGCTTTGGGGCCAAGTTGATGGAAGACAACGCAGTTTCACACGGGAAGCTCGACCTCTCAGTAAGTCTTCAAACACAACGTGACTCGGTGAAAAACAACAGCCTGGAGTTTTCACCACGGTTCACTTTTAGATAACAGGTATGACCTGCGCATCGTGCGTCCACAACATCGAGTCCGAGCTCACCACGACCAAAGGGATCCTCGGGGCCTCCGTCGCTCTCGCCACCAAAAAAGCACAGATCCAGTTTGACCCCGAGGTGCTCGGAGCTCGAGATATCATCAAGGTCATTCAGGTAAGTCTCACCTGTTATTCTCAACACCTGATCTTTGTTTAAACCTGTGACTTCCACGCTGCTTCTCCCTGCAGAGTCTTGGATTTGAGGCCAGTCCGGAGAAGCAGGGATTCAAAGGCAACCTCGACCACTCAGAAGAAATTAGACAGCAAGTATCTGTAACTTCTTAAAAGTTAGAACTGATGTGAAAATTCTTTTTAAGAGCTCAGGCTGCATGTTCCTGGATTTTATCTGGAACCTTTATTGACCTATGCTAAGAGACGGTGGGTTGAAACAGAGGTGACAGATGAAGTCTCGAGGAAAGACGTATTTCTGGCACGTTTGCAGATGGAGAGGCTCCTTCCTGCTCAGCCTCGTCTTCGGCCTCCCCGTCATGGGCCTCATGATCTACATGATGGTGATGGACAGTCAGCACAGCCAACACGGAGGCTCCATGCCCGAGGAGCAGAACGTGCTGCCGGGCCTCTCCCTCCTCAACCTGGCGTTTTTCCTGCTCTGTACACCTGTGCAGGTAAGAGAACCGCTTGCTTTCTTAAATCCAGATCACTTGCTCAGAAATGGTCCAGTTTCCTGAGTGTGACTGTGGTTGGTTCCTTTTGCATGAAGGGGCCTTTTGTTTCTTGTGACTAAAACTTAGTGAGTTGACACTGGATAGTTCTTGGCACCTGCCACACAAACCAGGTTCATAATCTAGCTCAGCTTTTACCATCGGGGACATTTTGTCCAGATGATCTTTAGATTTTACTTTCAGCAAAACTTCAAATTTTTATTTTGGGTTTAGAAGAAACAGAAATGGTGCAGTGCTGACTTTTCTGTCCTTCCTTCCCTCCAGATCTTCGGAGGCCGGTACTTCTACATCCAGGCGTACCGCTCGTTAAAACACCGCACAACCAACATGGACGTGCTGATCGTGTTGGCCACCTCCATCGCCTACATCTACTCCTGTGTGGTCCTCGTCGTAGCCATGGCCGAGCGAGCCAGCCAGAGCCCCGTCACCTTTTTCGACACGCCGCCCATGCTGTTTGTGTTCATCGCTCTGGGTCGGTGGTTGGAGCATGTTGCAAAGGTAGAAAATAAACAGATTTCCGTTGAATGAAGTTGGTAAATGCACGAAGCAGCTTTATAAAACTTGATTTAAACAATCTCTGCAGAGTAAAACCTCGGAGGCTTTGGCCAAGCTGATGTCACTTCAAGCCACCGACGCCACTGTCGTCATTCTAGGACCCAACTTCTCCATCGTCAGGTCAGACACACGATACAGAAAGTAAAGTTAAAACTTCCAGTGTCTCACTTTGAGAAATAACAAGCTGTGGGACCTCAGTGAGGAGCAGGTGGTGGTGGAGCTGGTCCAGCGGGGCGATGTGGTGAAGGTCTCTCCAGGAGGGAAGTTCCCGGTCGATGGGAAAGTGATCGAGGGAAGCTCCATGGCAGACGAGTCCTTGATCACAGGTGGGAGGATGAAACAGCTGCAGAGAGGGAAAAGACTTTTTCTAAACCTTTTCTCTCTCCTCCGTCAGGTGAGCCGATGCCTGTTAGTAAGAAGGTGGGTAGTTTGGTGATCGCCGGCTCCATCAACGCTCACGGTGCTCTGCTGGTGGAGGCGACTCATGTGGGCAACGACACAACTCTGTCTCAAATAGTCAAACTGGTGGAAGAGGCACAGACGTCCAAGGTAAGACACAGATAAAACTTCATTTGAAATTCATTGCACTGCTGCAGAGAAGAAGCACAAACTGAGACCACTGGTTTCTGTAGTTTCCAGCAGCGCCTGGACATTTGTCCCTCTGGTGTCTCCTCAGGCTCCCATCCAGCAGTTTGCAGACAGACTCAGCGGATACTTTGTGCCCTTCATCGTCCTCGTCTCTCTGATCACCCTCGTGGCCTGGATGGCGATCGGATTCATCAATTTTGAAATAGTGAAGGCAAACTTCCCGGTGGGTGCACGCTGCACACACACGTGTGTTCTCATGCTGAGATGAGGCTTTTTATTTTAATAACCACGTCTGGATCTCCTCCTCACAGGGTTACAACCAGAACATCTCCGACGCGGAGGTCATCGTGCGCTTCGCCTTCCAGGCGTCCATCACGGTTCTGTCCATTGCCTGCCCCTGCTCTCTGGGCCTGGCAACCCCGACTGCTGTCATGGTGGGCACAGGTGTCGGAGCTCAGAACGGGATCCTCATCAAAGGAGGCGAGCCGCTGGAGATGGCCCACAAGGCAATGCACCTTAACGTCCTGATCCCCGACATTATAACAGACACTGAATCTTTACACTCTGCTGTCGATGTGTTGATCTACTATCCTCATTAACTGGGGACACCTTGTGGCGGCAGATGGTACTGCTTCATCACTGAAACTGTCCTGTATCTCAGATCCTTCCTTTTTTCTAAGTTTTTTTTTTTTTTTACTGTGTACAGTTCATCACTACATTTCAGTTCAATTACTACATTTCCTACTTTTCCAAAGCTTGTGCTGGTGAGAGCAGTAAACCATAGGTACTGTGCGACAGTGACAGCGGCACAATCAGTGCAAACATTGGATTTAAAACGTTAAAGCCAGAAGAAGACAAATATATAATTAGAGATAAATAAATTACCTCTCAGTGATCTTTCTCTTGCTTCCAGTCTCAATAAATACCTGATGCACTAAATCCACTTACAACACGAAGAAACTAAAGATGAAGGCGGATCTGTGACTCTGTTGTGTTTCTCAGATCCGAGTGGTGATGTTCGATAAGACCGGTACGATCACAAACGGCGTTCCTCGGGTGACCCGTGTGCTGGTGTTGTGGGAGATGGCGCGTATGCCCCTGAGAAAGATCCTGGCAGTGGTGGGCACAGCGGAGGCCAGCAGCGAGCACCCGCTGGGCATGGCGGTCGCTAAACACTGCAAAGAGGTGAGAGTCCTAATCAGGATGTTGTGTGTTTGAAAGCGTGTCCAGGTGAATTGACCTGCTCTCTCTCTGTGTGCACTCGACAGGAGCTGGGCTGTGACGTGCTGGGTTACTGCCAGAACTTCCAGGCGGTGCCCGGCTGTGGGATCAGCTGCAGAGTGTCCAACGTGGAGCATCTGCTTCTGCAGCAGAGTGACGAGAGTTTCCTGCTTCCAGGAGCCACCACTGACGAGAGCAGCCTGCTGCCGGAGCCCGAGGCCCCGTCTGCAGGTCTGGTGCTCTTCACTACCTGAGGTTCCCAGGTTTAAGAGTTCCAGTAGATGAAATCCACGTGACAGTATAGTTTCTTAATTTCTTTGCTTGCAGGTCAAGGGTTGTTTTTCTCCGTCCTGATCGGAAACAGAGAGTGGATGAGGAGGAACGGTCACCACATCGGAGCAGACGTAGATGCCGCCATGTGCAGCCATGAGACGAAAGGGCAGACCGCCATCCTGGTGGCCATAGACGGTGAGGACCTGCTCACTATATCCTCTTTATCAGACTTTGCTGCTGCAGCGCCTGAGTGGTGCTTGGTCCCATGTTGTGTGTGTTCTCTGCAGGTGTGCTGTGTGCCATGTTAGCGATTGCAGACACAGTGAAAGCCGAGTCGGCGTTAGCGGTGCACACACTCAACAGCAGGGGCATTGAGGTGGTTATGATAACGGGAGACAACAGACGCACGGCCAAAGCCATCGCGGCACAGGTACGACACACACGTCGACAAAGAATTCTAAACATACTGATGGAAAACGACCTGAATGTCTGAAATGAAATGGTTCCTCAGGTTGGCATCAGGAAGGTGTTTGCTGAGGTGCTGCCGTCACATAAAGTGGCTAAAGTGCAAGAGCTGCAGGAGCAAGGCCTGCGAGTTGCCATGGTGGGAGACGGTGTTAATGACTCGCCCGCCCTCGCCCGCGCTGACGTGGGCATCGCCATCGGCACGGGGACGGACGTGGCCATCGAGGCGGCGGATATCGTCCTGATCAGAGTGCGTCTGACATGTCTGCAGAAACAGAAAATCAAAAGTTCACGTCACGTTCAGGTCAGTGCTTTAAACCGAGGGTTTTCCACTCTGTGCAGAACGATCTGCTGGACGTGGTGGCGAGTATCGAGCTGTCCAAGAAGACGGTGCGGAGGATACGCATCAACTTCGTCTTCGCTCTCATCTACAACCTTGTGGGAATTCCAATCGCTGCCGGTAAGGACAGATTATACACTTACATACATGAGCCCTTCACCTAATATTTAGACATAGAACAAGGATCCTGTTAGAATTCCCGGACTAGTGGTCGTCAGTTTCCTCTCCTCTGTTGGTCTTAGGTGTCTTTATGCCTCTTGGTCTCGTGCTTCAACCCTGGATGGGCTCGGCTGCGATGGCGGCCTCGTCCGTTTCAGTGGTTCTGTCGTCTTTGCTGCTGAGGATGTGAGTCGTTTATATGAATGTTACATTTTCCACAGTTCAAGTCTGAGAAAACGATGATGAGCATCTGTTTCCTCCAGGTACAAGAAAACCTCCGTGGAGCTGTACGAGACGCGTGCCAGAGGTCAAATGAAGAGTCTTCGCTCGTCTCAGATCAGCACACATCTGGGACGGGACGGCCGCCGGCGGAGCCCCACTCTCCCCACCGCAGCTCGAGTACATCTGAATCAAAGCGGCGCGGCGACCCCCAACTTCCCCGGCCAGGGACTGTCCATTAAGCCCGTCCAGGAGCTGCAGGACCGCTACTCGCTCCTGGACCACCAGACTGCTGACGACCTGAATTTGTAGTCAGGAGAAAAAGGGAAGAAGGACTGAGGCTCGTTTCTGTCTCGTTCTCATGTTTACAAAAGCAGTGGATTTAGTATTTCTATGTATTTATGTAAAAAGAGATAAGGATACTTAAAAGTGCCCTTTTATTTTTGGCGCTTATTCATCTTTAGAATCGGACTCAAATCTCAAAGTGCGACTCGTCCTCTGAACCAGTTTTCATGCCGGACGACAGGTATAAAACTAATTAGACATGTAAACAAAGTTTTCCTTCTTGTCACACAGATCCTAAGTTACTGCTGAATAAATGCACTTAGACGATATATGTCAAAGATGAAACTTTGTTGGTGAGTGTTTGTCTCAGGTTATAAACCCCCCCC